CGCCTATATTGGTGCCACACCTAAATTCTTCTGAATATATTCATTTCAAATTCTATCCCTTCTTGTCTTATCACTCATCTATCTCAACATCCTCATCTCAACTGCACTCAATCTATAGGTATGTTGTTCTTGACTCCCAACATTCTAGCCCATGAGCAAAATTGGTCTCACAACTGTCTTATAGATTTTGCCCTTCAACTTCATCTGTATGTGGTGATCATATAAAAGATTAGTTGCACACCAGTTCGCCCCCCTAGCTCTAATTCTATGTGCGACATCTTCTTCGATCTCTCCATTTTCCTAGATTATCTACCCAAACTGTCAAAAGTGCGCTCTTTATGATATTTATTGGCCTTCAATCTGAACTACTTCCTTGTATTGAACATGCATTTCATATACTCTATATCAGTCTGGTTAATTTCAAAACCTTTAGATTCTAGAGCATCCTTGCAAAGTTCTAACATTGTGTTGACACTGTTTTGGATGTCATCGATCAAAACTGTCATCTGTGAACATGTACCACAACACCTGATCTTCTAAGTGCTTGATTATATCGTCGATAACTAAGAAAGGTAAGGGCTCAATGTTGACCCCTGATGTAGACGTATTGCCACTGAAAACTGACTCGTCTCTCTACTAGTTATTCGTATATTAGTTAGCGCTCCGTCGTACATATCTCTCACTATGTCGATGCTAGTGTCTGAAGACTCATTTCTTTTCCAACACCCACCAAATCAAATCTCGAGGTACTCTATCATGAGCTTTCTCCGGATCAATTAAGACCATGTTGAGGTCTTTTGCCTTTGTGCTAAACTTCTCAATCAGTTAACCTCCCTAGCATAAAACCAAATTTTCTGATAAACTCATTTTATGCCTTAGTCATTGGTCAACCACTCATATGCTTGATCCGTTGATAGTTTGCACAATTCTGTATATCTTTTTTGCTTTTGTAAATAGGTACCACAATACGTTTCCTCCATTTGTTTGACACTTTTTTTGTTTTCAACGCCTTCTTGAACAACTTGGTGAGCTAGTCAACGCTAGTCTCCTCATGCACTTCCAAACCGCTATCGGAATGCCATCTGGTAAGCTTTTCCTATCTTTATCCTCTTCAAAGCTTCTCTCACTTCTGATATTCTAATCCTACAAATGTATATATGACATCGGCTCTCATTTAGTAATTTTTGAAAGTAAATTCTGACTTCTTCATCTTTCTCCAAGACCCTTTGATCCTCCCTAGTAATGCATTCACTCTTAACCTATTTAATACTTTTTTATTTTTGCTAATTTGAGGACATCTATTTCACCTTTTCTTGTTCGTTGTTTACTGCATAGATTATCATGGCTTAAGTTTGGCCTTTATTTACTTTTTGTTCAGCATTTTTTTTAGCATTTCTATATTTTTCTATATTTTGATCATTTCTATTATATTGCCAAGTTTTATGACACTAATGGCCTTTCTGAACCTCGTCACTTAATTTTATTTTCTCTCTAAAAGAATAAAATCGAGAAAATTCAATTTTAGCTATTTTGAAATTCCTTTTTGCCAAAGTAAAATATTTAGAGGAGCTGTAATAGTTCATTTTAATATTCTAAAATTGAAATAAAACATATTTTAACATATTAAAATGAATTTGATGCACTCCATCTATTCATGAAACCGTGTACTACTACTATCATCTTCTCAAACTGATCCAATATAACTCATAACCCACAGCCCATTGCTGGGGTTCATGATTGGTCCTTCACAGTTAGCCAATAAATGAAGCGTACGCGATCCTAGTCCATGGATTTCAGGTTCCTCTATGAGGACAAGTCCAAGTCCCATTTGGCACACTATCTCATAGGACCTTCCAAACGATCCAGTGTTACAGGGGGATATCTCTTCCGCACATGCATACGAGACGCCTTAAAGGGTTGCTTCCCGGATGGTTATCTAGTATACATGTTGTGTGATGGATATTATAAGGATTTTGGCCGTTGTTCTCTCCATCTAGCCATCACACACAAGGGTCACACCCAGTTTTCGGGCGAACCATCCTGGACATCTCTCTGACCTTATTATGGGATGACCCTACACCTTTATTAGTTGTGGCGTATGCCTTGGATTAAGGGTTTTAGACGTCAACCCCAGCCTAATCTGTCGAAACTTAAGTGGATCACGACACTACCAATGCCACACACTCCATCTTGACCACGCTCCCATTGGAGCTATTATATCACTATATGAACATTTTTAGTACATGCTCTCATCAGGCCTTTAAAAAGGCACATAACACCAACAAGTGCCTCATGATCTGAAAATAAAAGAAACTCCTGCTGAATAAGATAATGAAGTAGTGTCTTCAAGCTTGAATGATCGCATAAAATTCTACGTCATATGTGGAATATTGTCAGTGTGTATCATTGAGTTTCTCGCTGAAATATGCTAGGTCTGCCCTCCTCGCTCAAAACGACCTCAATAACAACATGCGAGGCATCACACTCTTGCTCAAACATCTTATCAAAGTCTGGCAATGCTAACACAGGTGCCTCATTCATAGCCTGTTTAACCCTCTCAAAGCTTTTTTTTTCTTTGGTGGTTTGCTTGAAAGAACCCTTCAAACAATCAGTGAATGGTGCTATGATAGTGCTGAATTCTCGAATGAACTGTAGATAAAACGTGGCCAGCCCATGGAAACTATGCACATCATGGACTGATGTAGGGTTTGGCCATTCTCTTAGTGCTGCCGCCTTTCTCTCATCCACCTTGTCTTAGCAGAAACTATGAAACCCAAGAAAATCAAACGGCTGGTCATGAATGCACAGTTCTTCAAATTTGCATTCAGTTTCTCCCCTCGTAATAGCTCCACCGTGAGCCTCAGATTGTCCATATGCTGCTCTTCACTAGTGCTGTATATGAGGATATCATCAAGTATACCACCTCAAACTTTCTATATACGGCTTAAGGACTTGATTCACGAGCCTCAATAAAGGTGGTAGTTGCATTTGATAACCCACCCGAATGGTGTAGCGAGCCACTCATACAATCCTTCTCACATCTTAAATGTTGTCAGGCATTCATTATCCAGCATAATTCTGATTTGATGGTAACAACTTCTCCAGTGTATTTTACAGAAAATCATAGTCCCCACCAACGTTTCCAACATATCATCCAGGTGTTGTATCCAAAAGTGGTATTTTATGGTAATTTTATTACCTTTTGTCCTCACACATGTGCTAGGATCATCTTTCTTGGGCATCAACAGCTGGCACTGTGCATGGGCTCCTACTCTACCTAAAAAAACCCATATGCTGCAATTTTTGAAACTTGCCTTTGTAACTCCTCTTGCTCCTTAGGGAGACAAGAGATTAGTGCTGTCCTCTTCTGATTTTGCAGTACTTTAATTGTTAGAGGGACATAGGATCACTTGAACTCGATCCTTGACAAAGGAGTAAGTGTTATTTCCCAAAAAAAGACAAAGGAGTAAGTGTTTCTGAAACAATCATGAGTGGTACGACTGTCATACTGCCATGGTCTCCCCAACTACAAATGGCAGGCTCCATAAACACTATATCATTTCCCTATATTTCATCTTTGTATATGTTTCCAATTAAAAAAGGTAGATCCATATTAGCGCTCTGTCTCGACCTGTTCTTGCTGCCATAGGTTCACAGAAATCACTATCCCTAGGCATAGAATTAACCAAATCTAGCTGAAATTAGCAAGTTCTAGGCTGATTTGGCAAAACTTAGTTTAAAATTAACGAACCCTAGACTTGGTTTTATATTCCTAGCTTCATTGTTGAAGAAAACTTGAGCTCTGATACCAATTGATGTAGGAACATAGAGAAAAAGGGGAAAACAAGTTCAATAAACCCCATTAAAACTGGATAGATTTGAGTGGATCTATCTTTCCTTGCAGACCCCAAAGCCCTAGATATGGCTTTTTATCTTTTGGTGATTTGTTCTAGAAGAATCTATAAAAATTTCTAAAAAATTTCCAATTTTTTTTTTTTAAAACATTCTCAATCTTTTTTACATAGTTTGGGGTCATATAAATTTATTAATGAGCGAAATTAGGATCCTGTGGAGATGAAAGGGTAATGGAGCACTCCACTTGGCTAGGCGTATAATTTAAAGCCACTTTCTTAGGATGATGCAAAAAAACCATGGCCCACATTATGTGGCAGGGGCCCATGATTGGCTTGTCAAAGTCAATCCAATACATGGCTTTAGACTCTTATGTTACAATGAATTACAGGTACACCTCAGAGGACATGCACCCTTGTGGATGCAGGTATCCTCTCTTGGCAAATATGCATTTCTTTTTTAAGTGGACCAACAATGAGTGGCTTCCCATTTGCGATTGTCTATACATGTACCATGAGAAGGTTCAGTGTCAGGTATTTGGCTTAGGTCCTCTAAAAACCTAACACTCTCATACAATTCCATATCTCTCATTTACTCGAGCTCATCACTCTTAGGTTTCTCGACGTCCTGGCCATTGCATTGTCTTGAGGTATAAAACTATCCGATCCTGATTAGAAGCAAACCTCAACTCTCCTGATAGAATGCCTCTCAGTCTCAAGCCTCACGTGACAGGGTTTGTGATGCTTGGTCCCAGTTTGCCTAGATCCTTGAGTTAGATTGCTCTCACTCACTCCCACTATAACCATAATCTATTATTTTTGGGGTCAAGGCCTTGAAAGACTATAACTCGTAAGATAAACAATGTCGAAGCATGACTCTTTGCAGGAGCAATAAAGAAATATAACTGAACTACATCTCAAGATACCTAAACCGCCAATCGCATGATTGCTAAATTTCCCATTTTTGGTCTTTTGCAATGCATCGATCCCTTCTCCCACTGCAACTATTGGATCCCTTGTCCATCGATTTCTCATTAATTTGTTTTGAGAAACTCTATTCTTCAATTGTATGAATGGAACAACTTCTGAACTAGTTAAATTCATTTCTTGTTCCTATTGTTGTCATTCTTTTTGCATTTCTTGTTACAGCTTCTGGGAAGGATACTTCGAGAGCCTAATGGAACATTCTTCCAACAAGTACGTATACCCCTATTTTTTGGATCAATCTATTGTGCATGTGTTCAGCTCCATGTATGAATTTATGCATGCCCACATGTGTGCATGCATGCATGCATATTTGTATGGTTGTGTGATATTTACATTAGCAAACACATCAGAATATCAGACTCACAAGCATAGATACACATGCTTGTATGTACGTACCTCTACATATATGTTGGTGTATATGCATGTATGTATATATATGTTTTTATAAATGCATGCTTACTGATTTACTTGCGTGTGCATAATTATGTGCCTATACATAGTTCATGTGTATGATTGTACACAATCATGATCTAAATGCATGCAGATATGCGCTAGTGCTGTATGATATCTGTGTTGCTTGATATGTATGCTTTGTAAGATCATATGTCTAGACAGATACCATTTTCTCATTTATTTTACATGTTTACACCAATTCCGTTATAACTTATTGTCAGAGTGCACCTGTGATCTGACTGTGAGGGCAGTAATAATATCTGGAATGTTGACGTAGCTTTGTAAATGTTCTATTCAATTGCGGTTCTATCTTTATTTGCTCCAACACTTACAGAATTCTTACAGAGATTTGATTCTAAGGTTGTCACAAGTTTCCATGTACCACCCTAAATTGGTTCTATCCTTTTTATGTGCTTTTTGTTACTTGGTTGCCTTGAGGAACTAAATCAAACTTTATGGTTATAAGAACTCGTCACAGTTCATACTTTAAAGGGCTAGAGAAGAAAGAAAATTTGGCTCCATGTCTCTTCATTTATTTTGATGACTTCTGATCTAAATTTTATTAGAGTTCGAAAATTTCATTTAATCTAAGATATTCCCTTTTTGGGTTTTGCATGTATTGTGTATATATAATAATAATAATAATAATAATAATAATAATAATAATAATAATAATGACAATGATAATGATAGTGATAGTGATAGTGATAGTGATAGTGATAGTGATAGTGAATAATAACAATAACAATAATAGTTTTTCTGCATCCACTGCATTATGTTGTTGGTTCTCTGTTATCTATTTTCCCTTCTTCTCCTAAATTGCTTCCACAGGTTATCGAATTATGCAACGCTTGTTACTGGACAACTCATTATACTGGCATCTCATATGGTGGAGTTCTTACTCATATTTTATTGCTGTTGTTCATATCCAGCTTCTTGTCATGGTAGCTAAATTTTTTGTATGTGATATAGTCTGGCTTAGGTCTTCCAGATCCTGATGCGTGGTACATGATAGAGTCTATTGCTGAGAAAAACAACATTGGATACAAACAGCTTGTAAGTTGTCAATTCCTTTTCTTGGAACAGAACATTCATCAGCAAAATATGACAATGAACTATTTTCTTAAAGTTAATGCATTATTAATTTTGAATGTTTGACGCTTGTTTTTTTTTTTTTTTCTGTCTAGAAAATGTTTAGGAAAATTCTATATTGAAACTATCCAGTGGCGCATTTTTTGAAGCCACTCGTGCATTTGAAGCTCTTTTCTTGCAAGTGTAACTTGGAAGCACCAAAACTAGATTCCTGGGAGCCAATTCTTCTCCTTGGGCAACATGTGCTAGCTTGAAATCCAGTTGCATAATGTGTTCCTGTTTTGCATATTGTGATTGTTTAGCTGTTGACCTTCGTGCTTGCAGTTTTGTGCCTTCAAATTGGTAATTCTGTACTTTGGAACCATGAATGCATAATTGTGAATTTTCTTCACTTGCATAGCAGAAATAAACTTTCCGGTGGTATCATCTCAAAGCTACTATCCCTAATTTATTTCGCCTATGCTTTCATCTGACAATGCACAGATTTTTCTATATTACTTAACATACAGGTGTTGTACACATTCGTGACTGATTCAGGTACTAGATACTCCTATGATATTTTTAAATACTAACTGGCATAATTGGAGAAATTGTATTATGTCTTTTTGAAACTCCATATCATGTGATATGTCTATGCGTCATGTATGGGAGGCGTACATTTATTTTCATACGCGCTATATATGTACTTTTGTGTTTGATAGGATACTCGTATTTATATTCATGTCTTGGATTTTGAGAAATGGGAATCATGTACTCTATATCTATTCCAGTATCATTATCCATATCAGGGCATCTTAGCTTTCATCACGCACACCAGATATACATGTACTTCCATATTTATACTTGAGCCTCCTTGCATTTTTTTTGTATATGTATGTAAGCATACGGATTTACATTGGGTAATTTGTGTTGACTAGTGTTCTCGGCCCAGTCGACTCGGACTATGTCGAGTTACACGGAATCGTCTCCTTGCAAAGCCAAGTACTAGGGTAATACTTAGAGTTATATAAAATAAAAAAATATAAAACATGTTAAATTGTAAATGTATCTATATTTTATATGTAATTTTAATTTTTTGATAATGATCTTTGAGTGTCTCTAGTCGACTTGGACTAGGTCGAGTTACTCGGAATCGTTTTCTTGCCAAGCCAAGTACTAGGATAATACTCAGAGTTATATAAAATAAAAGAATATAAAAACATGTTAAATTGTAAATGTATCAATATTTTATATGTAGTTTTAATGTTTCTGATAATGATCTGTGAGTGTCTCTTGTCATATGCCCTTTTGTTTAGTTTCTTATTTTTTTTCCGATTTTTTTGAAAAGTCTCTAGCTATTAATTATTTTTTCTAAATCCATATATTATATAATTTTTCCATATTATGTGGAAGTTTTATGTTATTTTTAGTTTAGTTTATTTTTAATACGTTTTAAATATTTTTTTAATCTGTACTTTTTATTTTTCAGGGGTTTCTTTTTGCCCCGTACCCTGCTTGGGTGAGTCACTCCGACTCGCCTGAGTTACTCAGCTCGGGCAAGGCCATGGTCCCACCTCAAGCTGAGTTCCAAAACATCGTTGTTAATGTTTAGGTCTCAATACATTTGCTTGTGCTTGTGCTTTTTTCTTGAACTTGCAGCTTACTATGGGTGTTACGGTGATGAATTAACGAAGTGAGTGAGTTGCTAATGCTTCTTCTGTTACTCTGATCCAGATAAAACTCAGAGGATTGTTATCTCATATCCAGCAATTAAGGACTGGATATTGGGGAACCTATGGCAGAAAAGCCCAAACTGTTATTTCTCATGGAATGCTGTCTCCCCACTCAAAAGATGCTCCAAATGAAAGCCAGCAGCCTGCCGAGGCATCCGCTGTTGGGCGGAGTTGGGTGCAGAGCATGTTTAGCAGAGAAACAGCTTCACGTACTAACTCGTTCAGTCGAGTGCGTCGTTGGACTTCTGAAAGTGGTGCTTTGGGTAAAACCTTAATTCTCTCCATAGGCTCTCTACACTTGGTTTCCCTACAATTTCCCTTTGTCTTTGTTGCAACTTTATATTTACAATGCTGATGATGTGTCTCAGCGTCAAATGACAATGTAAAAGGTACTGCTTCACCTAAGAAGCTGGATATTCCTGCAGCTGGACAAAAGAAAACCCAATCGGGTGTGCGAATACTTAGAGGCCACAAAGGTGCTATTACTGCTCTCCATTGTGTAACGAGAAGGGAGGTATGGGATCTGGTGGGCGACCGTGAGGATGCAGGATTTTTCATCAGCGGCAGTACTGATTGCACGGTATTCTCATGAGCTGCAGAGCTAATTTTTTTTTTTGTTGATTTTATCTTTTGGAGTATATCTGTTTGGCCTTCCATGAATTGTATAATAGTGAATAGACCTGGTCAAATTTCCTCTGCATAACTTTCACTAGAATGTAGTTCCCTAGATATGGGTTTGCTTTTGCAATTTGTCTTCCAAGTTCCTAGTTTAGAATGTAGATGCATGTGAAGCGTTATTTATAACAATCCTTTACCTCTTATCACGTGTGAGGTTCCCAATGTGCTAGTTGTATGAGCTATGATCATGAAAATTATTGTAAAAATTCATGTCATTTCAGCATGTGGCACCAATTTGACTTTTAAGTTTTGAAAACATTCTCATTGCCAGTTCTATGTCTAAGCCTGATGATACATTGGTTTCTGAGGTTTATGCGAAAACACTGTTTTTGCTCTTTAAGTTGGAAATATTTCAAATGCACATGTGATATTATATAACATGCTCACTCATTTTCTCCATTTTAATGCTTGTAACACAAGCCAATCTTTATCTTATAACATGCTCAACTCAATTTCTCCATGTTAGTTCTTGTAACACAAGTCGATCTTTATAAAAAATTGCTTGAAACATAGATAGTTGATAGTTTTGTTTATTTAATATGGATTAGTTGTTCCTCCGTTCAGCCGATGTTTGTCCTCATGTAAAGGGCTCTTAAGTGTTTCTAGGAGTCCCTTTTCTGCACAAAAGTGATCACTAACACTCAAAAGTTTTAAAAAACGGTCTGCCTGGCGCCTAGACGCCCGCCTAGACTCAGGCGGCCCTATATGGGCACCTGGGCGGGTGCCCAGGCGGGCTAGGCGGGCGCGTGAGGTTCTGGGCGCCCACCTAGGCGTTGGGCGCCAGGCAGGCCGCCTAGGGCTGCCTAGCGTTTTTTGAAACCTTGCTAACACTAAAAAGAATCAAATAAGCATAGTATTGTTCGCTGTTTCTGCAATATATTGATCTTGTAAATATTTCATAATTGGTTCTCCATTGGTAGCATATGCTTTTGCCAAAACTGTCTCTTGGCCTATGTATTTGATTCATTTGTCTTAATACATTTGCTATTGATTTAAAAAAAAAAAGGATCACCATTTTGGTTAGTTAGTTTCTATGATTTGAGCCTATCCAATTGTGTGCATATTTTTCTGAGGTACCAAATTGATTCAAAGTGATAGAGAATGGTTGGAAATGTTCTTTTTGGATTTTTTGAGAATTCTTGAATTTTCTGTTAAAAAAAATTGAGGATTTTGAAATTGTTTGGGAAAAGTGACCATTGAGGACAGCAACAGGTGGGCCATTTGGCACAAGTGTCGAATGGGTGCCATGCAGCCACCATTTAGTTGCCACATCACCACATGTGGGTGACATGTGGATGATTCGGCAGCCATACGGTGGTGTGCTTCTACAGTATTGTTTGGAAGGAAAACTTATTTGTAATAAGTTTAATGTGTTTTATGCACATGGGTGATTTTTGGCAGATGTGTGGCTTGCCATGTGGGATCTAGATATTTCCCTTGATTTGTGGCCTATTTGTCTAATTCAAACCTAGAACTAAGAGCTTCTCTTTATGTGAAACTTTGATTGGACAAATGGATGTTTACATTGTGTTACTACACACAAATGTCTTTTGGCAACACGTGTGTATGACACGACATGTGTGAGGCTAGCTGTAGTGGACATACTCGAGGGGTTTATATATATCTTTGGTAGTAAACTGGGTAATTGAGCTCTATAATCGGCTTCCCATGATTTTAGATCAATGTGCACATATTTGGTTCTGTCTATGTAATTTGGAGATTTAGTTTCATTGAGTTTGTAGTCTTAAGTGTTTGTATTAACTCATTGGAATAAGTGGCACTGTGTTGTAATTTTTTCAATCTCCAGATTGTTGTTTTGTGTGGGAGTTGTGTTGGGACAAAGTGAGGTATGTAAAAGTTGTTTTTGAATGTACATAATTTTCATTATGTGTGAAAATTTTAAATGATGTATCCTCGGACTTGGTTTAGTACATGGTTTTAATACACTCAACGCGATGGACTTGGGGGAGGAGAGAAGGCGTCTAGGCCTTATATTATATAATTATATACGGAGACATGGGTGGTGAAGTAATGAACTATAGATGAGTTGGGGATGGGGCTGGATATTAAAAAAGAAAAAGGGGTCGCATAGTGCGGTAAGCTCAGGGTCCGGGAGCGTGAGATGGGAGAACAGAAAGTCCTGGGTTGGGGGTTCTAATGGGTTGCGGGTATAAGAGTTTGGACAGGAGGGGTATATGGCCTAGGAACTGGTGTTTCCAAATACGGGCGTGGCCAAGGAGTCTTGAGGGGGAATCGTTTTCTACACGGCTTGTTCCTATGAGGCTTGCTCTGCTGGGGACCACGTTGCCCCTTTTCCCTGGGGGTCTGAAGGTCCTAGAGGGTTTCGGAGAGGAAGTGGTGGAAAAAGATTGAAACTCGGTGAGGTTGGGTTTAAACAACATACTTGTTTGGTAAAATGGGTAAGGTTGAATGTTCTGGACGATTTGAATTTGGCCTGAGACACATGTACCTATGTGGGGATGAGGAGTACGTTTAAGGACAGGCGGTTCCTTCCTCCTCCTTCTGGGCAATGGGATGTTTGTCCTTCCATTAGGAGAGGCCTTTTGGGAGCTAGAGGGGTCAACAGTTGCACAATATGAGGGCTACGTGGAAAAGGATTAGGTACGGAAGGTGGATCAAGGGTTGGATCTGATTGGATGTGGTCTAGGGGTTGATGGGGATGAATGGGTGGCTGTGCATGATGGGGTTTTGGGATCAAGGAGGCCATGGAATGTGATGCTTAGGTTACCCCCCTGCCTAGAAGAATATTGAGGGGAAGTGTGGGGCTAGAACCTGCTCTAACCAATCATGCATTTAAGGGACTGTCATGGGTATTAATGTCTACTTTGACAATGTCAACAGGTTGTGGGGCTTCTTTAAGGAGGATTAGCTGGTCTCTGCAATAGCGCTGGCATGTGGAGGCCATTCCACACCACGTAACTGAAGTGTGCACAGAAGTTGGTTTGGAGTTTCTGCGGATCATGGTTTTTGGGCTAATCCAACATTGTGCTCCAGGCATTTGTTCTCTTATAACTACTGTGCACTATGGTCCTGGGGATCATTGTTTTGGGGGTACTCCAACATAGTGCTTCAGGCGTTTTTTCTCTTTTTCCTAATGTGCAATATGGTCCTTCCTCTACGATGGTCATGTCCTCTATAATATATGTTTCTGTGATCCCCATCCTTTTGTCCATGGCTGCCCTCATTATACTTGCTTGATCACGGGACTACTATCTCTATATTGTATACGAAACCCCTGGAATGCAGTGAGACTGATAATGGACTCGCGAGGGGAAGAGAGGATTCGGCCTGCAGCTCGTTTGAATCCCGAAAGACTTCCAATGGATGATCAAGAAGTTCCCACAACAAGCTCCAATTTTGATATTAGAGATGGACAGGGATGCCTTTTGTTGTATTCCAGATTTGCTCTCTTTTCATTGCCCCCATAGATTCCAACCACTTTTTGTGCTCTGCCTGACCACCTTTTGTAGGAGAGATTTTGGGAGATTATGGCTCTACAACTTGCCATTGGGGAAGGAAAGGTTAATAGGATATTACCTTGGTATAGAGCCTTACAATGTTTGAGGTCTGATTTGAGTGAAAGCTTCGACTACTGTCAAAGACCTCCAATGTCATTTATTTGGTCGTGGAATTGGGCCACCAGGCAAGTTTTTAGGATAGTCTTGCATTCTTCCAGTTCTGGACTCTGGGATGGCCAGATCCGAATACGGGGAATGCCATTTTTAACTAAGTATCCTTGGCTATGGGGGTTCTAGGGCAATAGATTACAAGCTTGGTTTGAGGTGTGTGCTTTGGTGCTGAAAGGCTGTTCAAAATAATTCTAGGAAGTGTTCTATTATGGCCTCGAAGGATTTCTGAGTTTCTTCATCAATTCGGGGGTTCAAAGATGCCTTATTGAGAGTTACAGCTTTGGCATAGGAGTGGGGGACTCAGCGAGGTCTGAGAAGGCTGAACCCTGATCAGCTGGTAGTTATTGCGATAAATAGGTGGCAGTTGGGCAGGAAATAGTTTGAGTTTAATGTGTAGAGGGTCCCTTTATTATTTGTTGCTGGTTTTTGTGATCTCTAGTTCGATTGGACACAAAATTTCAATTGTAGCCCTTTTTTTGGGGCTAAGTTTCCTTTCAATGATTCCCCATATCTACTAGAATGCTCCACGATTACCTCATTACCTATTCATGTGCTAAATATGGTTGTTGCTTCATCTCCATTGCAGAACAACATTCTAGTCTTTTTATTGAATATATCTATCTGATGATGCAGAGGAGGGGCCCATAAATGAGAGCAAGGAAGATGAAGCTGAGACTGGGAGCAACTCAACTTATGGGATCTTTGATAAGCTGGTCATGGGCATAGAAACAATGAGGGCTTCACCTGCAGCACCACCACATGCCTTAGATCTCTATCCCTCTTATGTGGTATATATATCTTCAACAATTATTCTCCAAAATGAAATCTGTCTCTGATTCAGCCCTTCCATGAACCTTACTCATAACTCTTGGGGCCCTTGGTAAACCAGCTCAATAGCTCTCCTAACCATATATGTACCCCTTGTAGCCTCTAGACATAAGTTTATGTCCTAGATTTACCCTAATTGTAACTCTAGAGTATATCTCGTTATAATCTTATACCACTGGACTTCCTAAATTTCAGCAAGGTGGTGCTACCCTAAAATCCTTGAACTAAACTCTAATTATTGCCCTTATCACACCAAACCCTTTCCCATGGACCTACCTAAGTCCCACCCTTTTTAGGCCTTCTATAATTCACTCCTGCTCAATCTAGGAGACCTCAAGACTTCCCTAAGACATGTATATATCTGTCATTAGAGGAGGATGAGTAGCACCTTTCAAGAGAAGTTTCTTAAGTAGTTTTCTAGAATTTACATGATTTGGTAAAACTAACCTTTGGTTGTTGGTATTGGGAGTGGGATTAGCAGCAATTTAGGCATTGGAAACGGGTTAGCAAAAAAGACTGGAAGATCTCTATGGTTGATAGCATCATTTGTGCAATGCATATTCTAGGGATCTCTATACCGACCTTTGGGGAATCTTGATCCCAACCTTTTTAGGGATCTCGCTCCTAACTTTATGGGATCATGTAAGAAATTGAGACTACGTTGTTTAATTTTATAATTTCCACTGAGAACTAGATGTAAAGGGTATAATCTTAAGAAATAGAACTATTTTAAGACTACACTGTTTGGTTTTTGTGAAAATAAATGATGTAAAGGTTGAGTAGCTCCCAGCCTTTTGGGATCTTCATCCCTAACAGTGGGATCTAGATCTCAAATTTGAAAATCGAGATCCCGCAAAAAGGAAGGGAGTGGTTATGTGGAAGTCAAGGTATTAAATAGAAAAAATTTTATTTTTCTTTTATCCAATGCACGTGAATTCCATTTACATAAGTCACTATTTACTGCTTTAAATCAAAATTAATACCCTAGATACAACCTAATTTCTCTACTTTCATGGTCAAAGCAAATGAAAAAACATCTAGGAGCAATAAACAATCGTCCACTATGGTTTCAAGCAAAATATATGTTCCTGAAAATTTAAAGAAAAATATGAATATTACTGAACAATAATTAAATCTACTGGGAAGACTTACCAGAAGGTGCTGGAGTTATCCCTACAGGTCTTGATCTGCCCCACACCCGATCCCCTTACCGATGGTACACTTTTAGTCTTTTAGGTATTGCTGAAAATTCTGTGATGGGAAGCTTTTCAGGCGATACGTTTCAATCTAGGGTTTTAGAGAGCTAAAAAACTTAACTAGGGTTTTTACAAACCCTATAGGAACATATTAGGGCTGAATTTATGAGTTGAGATGGGCTTCTTTTCTTTCTTCAAAATACAGCAAACCCTAATTAAGGGTTTGGAGGTGCCATTTTTCTTTCAATGGGTTGTGTGACTCTTTATGGGACAAAGGGCATGTAGAAAAGGGAGAAATATTTTCTTATCTGTGCATGAGAGGGAGAGAGAAGTATGGCGTGAAAGAGAGAGAGAGATCTAAAGGCATGAGAGAGAAATCTTGTTATCTATTTTGAGAGATGGTTCAAATTGATTTAAATAGAATAAAATCTATTTCCCATTTTGAATAGGATTCTAATTTAGGTATGCCTTAAATAAATTTTCAGCTTAACCATTGGGATATTTGGGAAATATGTGGAGTGAGAGAGATCAAGATCTGAGCCATCCATCCTGCGAATCAGCCGTATGATTTTGAGTGGAAAATAAGAACTTTATCCTCTTATAATTAACACAAGTGCAACTTCTATTTAAGTTTGAATTATACACTTTTCGCATTATCTAGATTTTTCAAAATCTATAGAAAGTAAAAAATAATCTTTTCAAAAAAAGTTTGAATAGGAATGATAACTAGTTTTAAAATAGAAGATTCCCTATCTAACTTCAACGTCCCTATCTAACACTTACCCAAAAAAAAAACTTCCCTATCTATCTAACTTCAACTCAGAGTGGCACACTTAAAATAAAAAAAAGGGACATGCCACCTCAGGGGATCACATGGCCCCACACATGGGTGGCACACACATGTGGATTTGAAACCTTGGTGCCCACAGTGCCTTGTCAAGTTCTAAGAATTTCAAAAATGCCCTTTTAATCAATTTTACAGCAGAAATTAAGTTCAAAATTCTGAAAAACATTGTACAAAATCATAAAATCATTTATAATACTAAAACTTAAATAGAGTAGAAGTTGACTGGTACCAATAGGTCAAAATTAACGACAATAAGAGAACTCCACTTGACCCAAGAACCATGATCATTGCTGTTTTCTTATATAACCCAACAAATACTCATGACCCATAGTCTCAATGCAGGGGCTGATAATTAACTTGTCAAAGTTGGACAATAAACATGAGGACCATGATCCTAGAATGTGGATTTCGATCCTTCCCTTTAAGAGTGAGCCTAGCACTTTGTCATCGTAGTGCAAAGGGGTTTCTCTCTATGTACATTTACATGTGTCGTTTTATACGGCTGCTTCCCAGTAATGCATCTGTCGTGTACGTCGTGCGGAAGGTTGTTGAGGTTTTGGCCCTTGCTCTCACATGCATACAACTGTACACATGAGACCACATAGTTCTCTTAGCCTACAAACATCATCCTTGGGCATCTCTCTGACCTCAACAAGGGATGACCTATTATAAACCCTTCTCCATCGAAGTGCATAAACCGCCCAACCCTTAGTCAATCAACGCACACACTCCACTGAAGCGCATATTCCACTATAAATTATCATTTGTACATGCTCTCTAGGCCTTAAAGGCCACAAAACAGAAGATACCTCTCTCACAGCGCCAACGCGAGATTCCGGATTAGAGTTGCCACCTAGGTCATGGGATCGTTACAATTGTTTGGTCTTTCATGTAGTAATGTAAAAGATTTGAGTGGTAGAAGTTTCTTTGTAAACATAGTTCCTTTCCCGGTGTTGATGTTAAAGTTGCTTTTCAGTCGAAACAGATGTTTCGTTGAATACTTATCGTTGGTTAGAAACTACTTCATTGCGTTTTAGTCAGTTGAATATTTATTGTTGGCTAGAAACTACTTGATGGCGTTTTAGTCAGACTTAGTCTGCTTTTCAGTCAAAACAGAAAGTGCATTAGCTGACTTTATACTCCACTAATTAGGGGGACTTCTGCATAATTGTTTAATGGGCATATTTTAACTTTATCATGAAGTTGTGAACCTCGTAATGCTGAGCTGTCAATTTATATTTTCTATGGTGCTGATAGTTTTATTGTCACTATTCTATTTTTTGTCTTACTTGTTAGATATTGTGGCTTATGCTTATCTATCTTTTTATGAGTATCAATGGTATTTTTTTGTATTCAATGGATGTTTAAAGTATGAATACATCGCCAACTGTATATTTTTTTTAAATGCTGCTATTTCTTGCTGACATTTAGATCCTTTTTTTGTAATATTCATTATACAGGTTAAGATGTGGGACCCAAGCCTTCGTGGCTCAGAACTCAAGGCTACCCTAAATGGACATACCAGGTGCTCCGTTTTGTGTATTTCCATTATAAAACTTTTTTTTACTGTGTCTAGGTTTTGTCATCGTAGTCAATCATCTCCTGCATTATATGATTAATACTTTCTACGAAATCATTCGGTTTTCATATGAAACAACTCGTAGTTATCAGAAGAGATGATATTCAAATCTATCTAATAATGCACATTAAATTCCTGTAAGTGCCTATTGCATTTATTTGTTTTTTCCCTTGATTTGTTGGCTTGTATTTCTAAATCCTTGCCTCAAATTGCATATTTTATTTTATTTCCTTGTTCCTTGAATCTATCTCCATTGGAGCAGTGGTCCAAATTTTTCCATGTATCTTTTTTTTATTGAGCACTTGGTAAAACAGAGCTATTTGCTGTTTTTTCTTTAGGAAGTATAGGGTTTCTCTATAAGGGAACTGATTTGGTGATGCCATTGATTTGGAAAAGTATTTTTCCTTATCCACTTTTTGAGTCAGCTGTAACTTTTGGAGTCATTTGGTTGTCATGTGCACCATCCATATTCAATACAGCCATGGTCATAAACCCTTGGCTGCATGCACTGGTTTTTCTTATTATCCTAATTGGCTTAGGACTTCGTTAAGACAACTAGTGGATGCATCCATGTACCCCTTTTTTCTTCAATAACTGTCAGTTATTTTGGTGCAGAACAGAGTTAAATCAAGATAGGCATGCAAAGGATCACAATGTACATTCTGATGTCTTGGATTCTTCACTGCAAAAGAAAATATACTTATTCTAATCACTAGGTTTTTTTTTTTTAAAAAAAACTTGGAAAATGTTAATTTTCATGGGAAGATTTTTATTTCTAATCACGTCCATTGAGGTTATCCCCATTTGCAATTCTTTCCTATTTTTTGTTGTACTTGTCATTTGTCTTTATAGCACATTAAGAAATTGTAACTTTGGTATGTTTGGATTTCCATATTTTTCTGTTAGAAGTGCTAACAAGTTATTGGCTGTAATATGTGAATCTATAAGCCACTTTTGTATCAAACCTTTATTTGTCTTTCTTTTAGGTCTGTCCGCGCCATTAGTTCAGACAGAAGCAGGGTTGTATCCGGTTCTGATGACCAATCTGTAATCGTTTGGGATAAGCAAACCGTTCAGCTACTGGAAGAACTGAAGGGCCATAATGCACAGGTTTGAGCATGTTCCTTTTATATGTAGATAACTGTGGTCACTGTGTGTTATATTTAAAGCAAATATCTGAAAGGTAGACCATGTGGTTCTAGCCAAGTATCATCATCATCATAGCCTTTCTTGGTCCGCCATTGTGCTCTATTTAAGGTCATACCCTCAGTGTAGCTATAATTTCTCATATCTTTTCGGACTACTTCCAACAGTGTTTCAAAAAGCGCTAGGTGACACCTGGGCTGTCGGGGGGTCCAGGCGGCCCAACGCCTAGGCGGCCGCATAGGTGGGCGCTCAGAACCTGAGTGGCCCAAAAATGTTTTTTTTTTTTTTTGGCTTTTCTCTTTCTAAAATAGGCTCTAATGGATTTTAGGTTCCAAATGAACCTAAAATCCACAATTTTGCACTTTTAGTATTAAAAAAATGACTAAAATGCCCTCAACGAATGGCATTTCAGCCCCTGGGTGGGTCGCAGGCCCTTAGCGGCTGCCTAGGCGGGTTCAGACGGGCACCCAGGGATACCCGCCTAGGCCTGGGCAGTGTGCCCAGGCCTTCTGGACCGCCCTAGGCGTTGGGCGGTCCTCTTTTTGAAACACCGACTTCCAGCCGCATCCTGAGCCTACCCTTGCTCTTTTCGATCATTCCAGTTGAACTAATTCGCACCTCCTAATAGGTGTTGTACTGGGTCGACGCCACACATGGCCAGCCCACCTAAGTCTACTCTCTCTCATCTTATCACTTATTTGTGCCGCACCTAAACTTTCCTGAATGGATTTATTTCTGATTGTATCCCTTTTCGTCTTGTCACTCATCCATCTCAACATTGTCATCTCCACTACACTCATTTTATGGGTATATTGTTTTTTTTTACCCAACATTCCGCTCCATAAAGCAAAGCTGGTCTCACAGTTGTCTTATAGAACTTAACTTTCAGCTTCATTGGTATGCGGCAGTCACATGAAATTCCTATTGCACAACTCCACATCGCTCACCTAGCTTTAATTCTATGTGTGACATTTTCCTCAATCTCTCCATTTTCTTAGATTATCGACCCTAGGTATAGAAAGTGTTCTGTATTTCTTGGTCGTCAATCTTAGCTACTTCCTCGTCTCTACTCCTATTATTACTAAACTTGCATTACATATACTTTGTCTTAGTCCGGCTAATTTTAAAACTTTTGGATTCTATAGCATCCCCTCAAAGATCTACACTTAGTTTTAGCCAAGTATATACAATTAAAATACTTTCTCACTGTATTTTATTTAATACTGGCTGGACCACTTACAATTGCCAATTGCAACTCAAAAATCATAGAAACAAACCCGTAATATAATCTAGGATCCTTACTTGCATGCCATAAAAGAACTTTTTATTCAAAGTAAATCAATATACTAACAGAGTGAATCAAGGACCATGGAGCAGTAAAATACCAGATCACCTTATCTTAGACACCTCCAAGGACTTAGCACACCGCACTTCGGATCTCCAACATGGATGGCGCTGATCTAGGCCATTCACTTCGTCTCATGAAAATGGGAAGCCAAGGAAAAACATTTATTCTAGAATGAGAGCATGGCCAAGGATAAATTTCAATCTCAATGCTATGGTGTAGGGCTCACTAAATACTTGAGCCCTAGGGTGGAGAAGAGATGAGAGAGAGTGGTGTGGAGCCCTAGGGTCTAGACTAAGGGGGGCTATTTGTAGCTTCAAATTAGGCTTTGTTCTAGGGTTTTTTAAGACTTGATCTTGACTGTTGGTTTAAGTAGATCTGTGGCTTGAAGAGAGGCTTCCAATCCCAGTCATCCATTCCTTAAATCAGCCATCATGATTAAAAAGAATGTTCTAGAATCTTTATCTCTTAGTTTCTTTGACTCATTTTTATCAATTATTTGATTATTTTCATATTAATGTCCTAAAATCTCAATTTATGAAACAAGTTGCTATAAGAACTCTCAGTGAACCCCTTCTCTCTTTGTCTCTCAATCAATCATCAATAAAAAAAGAAAAAAACACCCTTAAGTTGGACCTCTATCTAGAAGACTTAATCAACAAGTAACAAGGAGAACAAGAGGAGGAGGTGGGCTATTTGAGGTATGTGGATCTGGCGTGAGCCTCATGCTCACACCAAAATGCGCCTCCCATGTGTGGATGCTACTCCAAATGGGCCCCCACACCCACCACTAGATAATTTTAAATTTCTTAAATTTTTTTTTAAAAGACCATTTCGTATTTTTAAATATAAACCTGAAGTTCAACTTATAGCTTTGTAGAAATTGTTTTTGAGGGGAAAAAATACAGAGCATTTCAAAAATTCATTTTAATGTTCACATACCTTTTTTTTTGGTAGTTTAGTGGGGAAAAGGCCCCTTACTCATGGTAGGAATGGAACACAAGACTTTATTTATGGCACCCACTACCCTGGGTACCAACGCCATAAGTCCATTCCCAATCATAAAACGTATTGAAATATAATTAAGTTTGAATTGGATCCTCTGGGACAAGAGATCTACGAATTAACTAAGGCACTCCACCTATTCTAGCAGCGATGAACTACAATTATCTTCTCTAACCAACTTAATGGAACCCATGTTCCATAGTCAATTGCAAGGGCTCATGATTGGCCCATTAAGGTTGGCCAATAAATGAAGATAAAATGACTCGTGTATGGATTACGGCTTTCCCCTTGAGGACAAGTCATTCCCAATATGCATATTATCGTAATGGTGCAGGGGGTCCTCTCTTTTGCACATGCACATGTAATACCCCTATAGGTTGCTTCCCAAACATGGCTATCTTGGGCCCATGTTGGTGTGATTGCAATGATGACGACTTGACCCTTGTCCTCTTAGGCCTTCCGACAGCGCATTAGGGGTTACGAAGTCCACTAGCCAACAAACCACCCTGAGCATCTCTTGGGCCTCATCAAGGGCTAACCCTACCAACGCTTCACAAGTGTGCTTTATGCCCAGGGCTCAAGGGTTTTAGACTCTATTCTGGGCCTCTGTTAGAAATATAAAGCCTCTTATCTTTGCTACTCGGATGTCATTCGGAACATGGCAGTAGTCCCATCTTGATGTTCTCGGTCTTCCGATGTAATCGTGAGTCGTTATCGCAAAAGATCCTCACACACTCGTATTGCATGTGGTTGTATCTCAGCAGCTTGCGGAAGTTCAACTATATTGCTTCTTTCACAGCTAGACAATGTGACCACATTTTCAGGCTTTGTGGTGGACATCACCACAATATCTATTTCCGGTTGCTCCACTATGGATAAACAGGTGCTCCAACTAAGATATTAAGTCATTTGGATCTCTTTGGCAGTTCACCATGGAATACCACTATATTTGAATATTCATGCATCTAAAAATTACTGTGGGACATGCAATAACTCCCTCTCAAACAAAAATGCGTAGACTAGCTACTCTCTTAATACCCTCATGGTGATACCATGAGCTTGTTCAGTAGGCCTCATGCGAAAATAACCTTCTCCAGTTTTTATTGCGAAATGTAGACTCTTTCTGGGCCATAGAGGTTCAACCACACTTATGTTTTGGTTGTAACTCTTTAGAAGCCAAGTGATCTTATCCACATGGCATATGTCAAGGAAGCCAAACAAGATTGAATTCCTAAGATGCTTTCTTTGGTTCTTGGTCTTAGGCAGAGTTAATCCAGAGCATTGAATCCTTTTTGGGCTGTAACGAATGAGTATTATTCTCAACTTCCCTCCATATATTTCTCTAAAAATCATATGTGGGAGGTGCACCTCCTATAAAATCTGAAACCCTCCCCCCAAGAATCAACCCCCAAATCCTTCTGAGTGGTACTACCATGCAAATTCGATAGTGACCGACTTGCTAACCATGGATCCACCCAGAAATCCACCATCTGACGACTACCAATACTCCACTGTACGTTGTCATTCAACTGCAATAAGCCAAGTAAAATTCCCTTCGCTTCAGCCTCCCATATAGAAGAATTTCTAAAATATCGATATTTGAAAAACTATGCTGACAACGAGGATGGGTTTTCCAAAATTCTCCATGCTAACTTCGTCATTCCTACGATATTGAAGCCTGCCATTTCCCTTACCCCGAGACCTCCTTCAGCCTGAGTAGTGTCCATTTTATAAGACGAACAACTTTTTTCTCTGCCTCACTGGCCCACAAGAAGTTTCTTTGTAGTCTCTACATTATATTACATGTTTTCTTAGGGAAAATGAAAGATAACAGCCAAAAATCCGCTGATGCTCTGAGTACAGACTTAAGCAATTGAAGTCGGTCTGCATATGAAAAACATAAAGGCTGCCATGACCCAATCTTACCGAACACCTTGCCTGCCAGACTATGGCAATAGTTGTGCTTCAAATGTTCTCGAAATAATGGTTGGCCCAAATAATGGACTGGTAGAGCTATTGTAAGGAACTTTAACTTCCTCAGGACTCTCCCATATCCTCCGTATGGTCCACCAAAGAAAAAGGCCTTGCTTATGGATGAATTCAAAATCTGAACAGTAGTCCTTTCAAACTTAGAAATGAGTTTAGGCATAGCAGCGGCAAAAGAAATGGATGCCTCACAGAAAATAAGAACATCATTAGCATAAAATAGATGAGGCACCCCATAATCACACCCTGAAGGAAATGCCCTGGGAACTATGCCTTGCAACATAGCACAATCATGCTGCCTACTAAAGAAATCTATGACAACCCAAAATAGATATGGAGATAGAGGATCCCCTTGCCTCAAACCATAGTTACCGAAATCTCTCCTCGAACTCGCGATTCCTGTTCCCAAACCCGTTTTCGCTTTTCAGTTAAGGAAACTCCACAGAAACCGTGTTTTTTGAATCAACAAAACTCGATTCCTTTATTTTGGAATCTCGATTCCCTGCCTAGGTGGGAACTTTTTTTTTGCAACATAGGAAACTCGATTCCTTAATTTCGGAATCTCGATTCCTCACATATGTGGACACTAATTTTCGGAACCAAGGAAACTCGATTCCGTAATTTCGGA